TTAAACAAAATTATAAGAATAAGGATGTTGGACTACATAATGCACAGGGTATCATATAAACTTAGATGAGAAAAATGGTGTCAGGTCTATCTAAATAACAAATGGATATTACTATTCTAAAACACAACAAACGGACATTATTGTGGCCACTAGCACCAGAATCCCGAGCCAAGTAACTTTATATCAGAAGTTCATACCAATAGAATGAACATCTTCAGCCTCTAGACTTACCCTTAAAATAACTATCGTTTCTCTATACAACAAATTAAAACTTATTCCTCTACCCTATCATTTCTTGATTGGGCTTGTATCCTTGTAGCACATGCACTTGGCCATGAAAAAACCTAATAACATCATTTGTCAACTGCTTAACTTTTCAATATTCCATAGATAGATAGCTTGCGACAATATTAGTGCTGGAGCTTTTAAGACATAAAAAAATCCACAACAAAGCTTTTTTACTTCATGTGTGTGAATAAACACAATAAAATATAATCCAAGTATCAAGTAAAAGGTGATTGAATTACCGCCACTCCGCCAGGATCATTAGCAGCTATGACTCCACCCATAAAGCCTCCACAACATTCTCTGCCAGCTTTTGAATCATTTACAATAAGTTGGGATGGGGATCCAAGATCCTTGGACCCTGAAAATGCATTACAGGAATAAAATGAGATTGCAGAGCACACAACTATAAATATTTCGCTGACATTAGCTTAATAAATGGCTTCATGGGCAAATCCTTTTTCTAATCTTATTTTTATTGATTGTGCATTGTATCCTTATAACGCATAAAGAAATCCATAACAGGACTATTGTATATTAAGCATGCGATAAAATACAATAAACCATAATTCAAGTACTGAGTAAGAAAAAATGTCATAGAATTACCATCTTGATCATTAGAAGCTATGACTTGTGTCCATGTTGTTCCTTGCTAGCTTCCGAACCACTGAAAATATGTTGGAACGAGGATACAAGACCAATGGCCCTTGAAACTGCATTAAAAAGAACTGAATGAGGAGATTGCAAAGAGCCGTTAAATTTCCAAAACATTGAAGGGTGGGGACAAAAGATCCCTAGCCCCTGTAAATGCATTAATAAGTAAAGTAGGAGGTAATTCTTCTGTAGGACAACTTGTGTCACTACAGCGATTAGCTGGAGGGAACACAAATCATAAAGTATCATTAAAAACTAACAAATGTAGGTTCATTATAACCTCAAACGGTAATAAGCTTAAAAAATACACCGAAGAAAATAGTACAATAAGTAAAATGTGTGAAAATGTATTTCGTGATAATATAACTTGTCTTGTATTTGTGAGATTCTTTTGGATTTTAATGAATGATATCCAGATGGTCGATCTAATTCCTTGCATTTTGCATATATCTGTCAACGTCTTTCATTGCGAGCATCTTTTTTCGTTATTGACAAACTAACATTTGGAACATATCCACAAGCACTAACACGTATCCAAGTGGATTAACAAACTACGAAATATGCTAGAATTCACAAACTATTATCTAAATTGGGAAGGGGGGAAAAACTCGAGTTAATTTCTCATCATTGAATAACGTTTAAAATTGGTGAGTTTCCGAATTTTCATACCTCGCTTTCCTTCGGTGTGGCAAAATCAGTCCCATTATCTCAAAGAGGCCAAGTACATGCAATAAGATCAACGAATTTCATCACCACAGCTAATTTACTGACTGGAAAAAGAACGATGAGAATAAAAAATCAAATCCTTCATAGCGGCTTAAGATAAGCA